TGCTTACTGATGTACATTGAATATAACATTGGTGAATACATTAATCATTCTCTATGGAGTGACCATTGATATGATTATAGGAGAGGCTGGCATGAGCCTTGGTGCAAAAGCTATTGCACCAGGCTACGCCATCTCCTCTCCCAGCCCCAAAGGCCGCAGTGCCTGCTCTACTGGGGTTGAGAGATAATCATTTTCAGAGAGGGAATAGACAGAGAGAACTAATTTCCTTAACCCTTGTTAATTTGATGTGTTTGTTGTTCAGCATGAGGGACTGAGTGTAATACACTGTCGCGCCTTTGCACGACGTACGCAACCTACCTAGTAAGCCGTTCGCGATTATTCGAGAAGGATCTACGAAACTAGTGCTTGGAAATAGTAGTAACAACGATTTTGTGGACAAATATTAGAGGAAAAAATGGTTCTCTGCCCCGAAAAACCGTCTGGCCGCGCCCGCCCCTTTCGCTGGGCGATCGGTCGTTCACATCCTAGAGCCGCAAGGGAATGCCGGCGTTGGGGCCGCGGCACTGCCGCCGGCCCGCGTACTACGGTGACTCTGCCTCTATAGAGGAGTCGACTTACCTCGACTAACCATTTTCGCTCTACGGTTAGATTAACTTATTTCAAATTTTATCCGTATTTATAAATTTCCCTTCGTTTTTGTCCACTAGATGTCTTCAGTTGTACAGTGTAGCGCCAGTGCACTACAACGTCCCCCCTCGCCCGAAAACTTCCTGTCTTTCCTTGAAACTTCTTCCCTTCCATCATAGATGTGTTTATTCCTGTAACGCTGGTTCTCTGGCCTTGACCTGACCAGAGACGAGCCGCAATGAAGGCAAAGACTTAAAGTAAGTGTTTCCCACAAGGCAGCTGACCTCCTTCCGCGGAACCTAGGCATCCTGGGCGTTGAGCTCAGGGCCAGGGTGTCGCGGGGAGGAGGCAGCCCGAAATAGGGTTGCAGCGCACCCCGCTGCGGCTAGCAGAGCAAACCAGCCCCACGCGTGCACTAAAGGAATCTTCAGGGAAGCTTCCTTTGCTGCATGCTTTGCCTCGTAACGAACTTGTATAACGTTTGCAGGCGCTTACGCGCAGCATGCCAAGGCCGTTGATAGGCTCCTGAGCTAACTATGCGCTAACTCATGCTACATCTGCCCCCCCATCAGCAAAAAGCGTACGTCCTCGTGCACAGATGGTCATGTGGAACTTGATGGATTGCTGCTGTTGCTGCTGCTGCTGCCGCTGCTGCTGCTGCTGCTGCTGCTGTTCTCCACACCGGTGCCCGTTCCTGCGATGCAACAAGGGAAAACGCGGGAAAAAGGTCGAATATGTAAAGATGGCAAGGCAGAGAGAAAGGGTGAGGGGAAGCAGCATGTCAGTCGGCGCATCTGACTCAAACGGCGAGTCGCGATGCGGCGGCTGTCTCGCGGCTGCCATGGTGCCTCGGCACCGCCTGAATAAGCTGGCCTGCAACAGAAACGGCAAATAGAGGCACAAGGGAAGTGAAAGGAGAGGAAAGGCTGGGCGAAAGCAGCGAAACTGCTGCGATGCCGGCCCAACCACAGCCACAGCTGGTGGCTAGCTAGAGTGGCGCGTGACGCCGCTCCCGAGCTGCCGCTGGGCAAAAAAATAAGAAAAAAAGGCTGCTTCCTGGTGTCTGGATGCTGGGTTACAAGTCATCCAGCACCATGGTAGTTGGAATCACCCGTCCCGCTACGCCGGGTCGCCGCCGACCGCGCACCTGAGAAAGCCCCAGCCAAGCCCCAAAGCAAAGCCCCACTGAGCGAGGTACGGCCGGTCGGCAGCGCCCTCCCGCGACCTAGCGCGTCGCGTGGAAGGGAGAAGATCTAGATACGGAGGTAAGGTAAGTAGCCTCCATGGGCATCGGCGAATAAAAATAGAATAGATTGGAGGGATCCGCCTAGGGATCCGCGAACAAGAAGCCACCAAACCCCCACTCCCGCATCCTGCCTACTTGCACACACTAGGTGTAGTCCAGGAGAGCACTAAGCTGTTTAGGGGGGATCGCCTCCCGTACGCGATCCTCTGAAACCCACTCGGGGTCGCGTGTGCCCGGCCATTTTACGTAATATTCGCGTTTCCGATGGCCGCGGCGGGAGGTAATTCGCACTTCGAGAATCTCTGTATCCTCGAGGCGCGGAAGCTCGCGAGGTCGCTGCTGCTGTTTCCTCGCTAGAGTGCGAGGAAACCGCGGAGATTCCCGCAACTGTTTTAAGAATCCCACATTAATAGTGTGATGGCATCTCCACGTCGAGGGTAAATCGATAATATACGCCAAGGCGTTGACCCGAGAGCGAACGGTCCAACCCATCGTGTGGCAAAGTTTTTGGGTTGCTCGCCCTCCTGCGCGCTACGGAGGGCGTGCGAATCCACCAGAACCAAGTCGCCCGGGT